TTTTTTTTCTCATTTCCGTCTTTTAGATCTGGGATACCTGGTTACAGTTATTCTCCACGGAAATGGACATGCCCGATGATCAACATCGATTTCATACTTTTTGTTTGATCGTTTATTGAATAATTGAATTTTTCTGTCGTTATAATCTAATATTAATTCAACAACATCATGTTTGCGAATATCTTCGTTATATTTTGAATGTGCACCACTAGTTAATACACCATTTAAATAAATAAATAAATTTTCTCTAATTACTTGTCGCTGCCCAACCGTACGCTGATCTTGATAGACATGCAGCGGCTTTTATTGGCATATTAGAAGATGTTATACCAAAGAAAATCCAATAATTATCGTACATTTTCTCAATTTTAAAGGAAACTCGGTGCACACCTTTTGAATACAATGCTGTTCCATAGCCAGATGAATGAGAATCACCACCCCCAGAGTGCAATGCAATTCGATTGTTATCTTTTACTTGCATCGAGCCCTTAGTTTCTCCAAATTGATCTATGTTATTAAGTTTAATTTTAATCATATTGATTGGCGGCAATGACGAATCGTGCGAATCCATCCACATGTTTCGCGTCGAATTTACTTCTTGTTCAGTTTTATCCAGTTCAATTCGCCATTTGTTCAAATTTGTTTCGACGTAATCCTTTGTTTGTCTACCTATTTTCAATTCATTTGTTATTAAAACAAAATCTTTCATTATTTCATGATTATTTTCTATCAAAGCATCTGAAACTTGTTTTCGAGCATCATTAGCTACCAGTTTGATTTTACTTATTAAATTCATTTTCTATTCATCAATTTGTTCTTGTAGAGGATGCGTTGGATTAAATACTGTTAGTTGTTGAAATATAGAGTCATGTTATAACGAAATTTTCTCGAATTGTTTGGTTAATTCTTGATGATGTTCGTGAGAATGTTTATGACAAAATGTTTGCTGACATCCAAGACAACAAAATATTCCCTTACTATTTTTACATTCGCTATTAGAACATCGAACTTTTGTAGTAGTCATCGTGTCTTTATCTATCTAGAAATTTCAAACAATTGTTAATTCCATCCACAATGAGAAGCAGTTCTGAGAAATCTACCTTACTCAAGTGGTAACACCTTATGAAATACAAAACGGTGTCTGCAGGTGTTCAGATAATAGACATTTCTTTAACTTTATTCCACAGCGTACCTGATGCCTCCGCCTTCTTTGTAACTCAAACTCCCTATCCTTTTCCTATGAAAACTTCCGGAAAAAAATCATTTTGTAGAAACTTCCTAGGACTTGTCCGTTTTCCGAAGGAAAAGGAAGTTTGAGGTATAACGTTTATATACGAGGATTTTTGTGGTTTCCAGGTTGTTTTTGGCAGTAGATGTAAAGTTTCGGGGTGAAACGGTGATTGATCAAATTTAATATAAATTTGGTGTTTACAGTCACTGAATTGACTAGTAACAGACAGTGTATTATTGATATGATGTTGTTAGAGACAAGTTTTAAAATTATCACTCTATCGCAACATGTCCGTGCAAAATGGAGAAAACTATTTCACTCAGAAGTACTGACTATCGTTCACTTCTCTTTTCAGAACGCAGCTGAACTTTTCTATAGAAACTATAGCTCATATATGTGAGGAGACGGTAATGCTGATTAATTCGCGTTGTTTCTCTCTTTTGGATGATAGGTATAACGTGAAGTCGAAGGATTAACCGTAGTTGTTTTCTAATGTACAGAACCGAGCGATATATTCTAAAACGGAATCGATCATGATACATGTATCCTTTTCCTTCTTTTTTGTAAAGGACACAGTATGATATATTGTTCTGAGAAATGTCTAAAAGTATTTCGGCCCATTTGCTTCCTTCTAAAATTCTGGAATGTTTTCCCTGCGACAAGAAGAGAGATCACTAACACGTTTTGTTAACAAATAATTTATAAATCACGTCAATCAAAACAGCAAGTTAAGAGTTCAGAGTTTTTTTTCATCACCTGTTAGTCATCTATTGATAATCCCCATAGATTCAGAGCTTTGGTTTTTATACTGAATGAATAACCGCGTTTTTTTCTTTTTTACATTTTGTCTGGGAGAAAGCCTGCTGTTTTACAAACTTGTAATGGAAACTTTAGTGCGAAGTCAGTTTTACAGATTCGTTCGATAACTGATGACGAGAGCGTCGGTGCAAGATTTGCATAAAGTTCATACTCGCATTTTCGCTGATTTCTCGTATCGCCTAAAACTATCAAACAACAATTTAGAGTTTTGTATGACAGTTAGATGTTCCTCTTGATAGTTGAGGAAGAAGAACGTTACGCCTTTCCAACTTCGCCTTTCGTCCTATATTCTGCAGAATGATTGAACTTGTGCAATGACTCGATGTTATCCTTCAATGTGTATTTTTTTGTTGCGATTTTTGTATTTTGTTTTTGATTTAAGCTTTAATCTTAAATCAAAACGATATCGAGAATATAATTTCCCATTATATCGTTTTGAATATGGAAAGGCTTTTTGGATTTTCAATCCTTTTTAGTTTTTTTAGTACTCCTTTGAATTTTTAAACCTCTTTTAGTTTTTTAGAAGTTTTAAGGTTAAGACGCTGATGAGAGAAAACGTTGGGCTCTTAACTTGCTGTTTTGACTGAGATATAAAAAATTTAGTGTTAGCGATCGCCCTTCTTGTCGAAGCCAAAACCTTCCAGAACTTTTGACGGGAGCCATAGGGGCCAAATACTTTTAGACTTTTTCTCAGAGCCATAGGTCCTACATATTGGCAAAATATGGTTGAAAATGAAATCAACCTCGCGAGACGATTTCCTTGTAAGTCCGTATGCCAAGTATCTACACCCAGATATCTTACAGCTCCTTTGTCTTCATAAGATCTTCTTGAATACGTTAATATGGCATGTTATCAAAAACGTTTATGGTACAAATTTAAGTTAGATTGAATTCCAAAATCATTTATTTAGCATACGTTAAAACAAAATAAGATATATATGAGTCGACAATTATTTGTGTTTAAGTAATCTAATATTAGATATCATAGAAATAAAGTTTTTCAGTGGTTCTTATAACTGCCGTATTTGAACTAATCAAGGCGACATTAACTAATGTTCCACCTTGATAATCAATTCTATCTTTTAGTTCACATTTGTCATCAATAATAAACACACAGGTTTCATCTATATTCAATACAACCCAATTATTATCGTGCAATGGAATCATTCTTGAAAATATTCCATAGTCAACATTTAATTGCAATGTATGTAAAATATTATTCATTGTTATATCTCGAATTTCAAAACGAAATCGTCTATTACGTGGTATTGTTTCATCTTGTATTGATAGTCCTAAGTGATTTTCATAATTTAGACGAAGACATGCAATTATTTCATTTGATTTGCATGTAATTGGAGTAAACCACCGTTGTTTCATTTGCCATGTTGAAATTTCCCAGTATTCAATACATGATTCTTGTTCAAAATAACTTAAAAATAATCGATCATTCCAACATGTACATCGTCGAAATATACCATTTTGATAGGGTTGAACTTGTGAGACTTCATCATACTGTTTCGTATAGGGATCAAATAAAATTAATGTTTTATCTATTAATATAAAAAAATTTTTTAAATTATCATACCATTGAATATCTCGTATGACAACATCATAGTGCCATGTTATAGTTTGTTTATTTGCAAAACGATCAAATATTGTCAATAGATTATTTTCATATTCTTGAAGAATAACATATTCATTTGATCCTCCCATTGCCCAAAATCTGCCGATATTAAGTTCAATTTTCGGTTGAGTTGAGATTCGTTTACCAAATGTTGTTATTGGAACGTATTCTTCACATTCTTGTGATGATTGATAAATGGGAATGGTTAAATTATGATTAGTGTAATATTTGGCTTCAATTTCTAATAGTCGTTTATGATCGCGTTTGATTAATTTAATGTCAGCTATGTAATGTTCATATTCTATTTGTAATTTTTCTAAACGATTTGTTATCTTATCTAAATTAGATTGTACATCTTGAACTTCAGCATTTTGTTGTTGTTCTAGTTTATATTTTTCAATTAATATCTTTGTGTCATCGTTGAAGTTTGCATGAAAACTACTGATGAATGAGCGTAAAGTTGAACGAATATTTTCAGCAGTTCTTCTTACATCAGCAATTGTTTCTTGTTCCCATGTGTTAATCTCTTCGTATAATTTTTTTTCTTTCGCATTATTAAGATCAAATTGTCGAATATAATCTGAAATTGTCATATGATTTGAGCAAATATCGAATACTTGCTGTTCAAACATTCGACGATGTGAGTGAAAATGAGTTGTACAAAAGTTTTTCATACACACTCCACATATGGCCACGGAAACAGTAGAACAATCAGAACACGTATTATCATTCATGGATCGTGTTTTGAACTGCTAAAATCAAAAGATAAATTGAAGTTATAGATTATTGAAGCGTATGATGACAAGACGTACAAACATTAGAATAAAATGGATAATTACCAAGTGTCTAGATTCGTTTAAAACTACCTTAGTCGCTACATCTAGTATCAAATCTTATATTACTTTACCGTCCCAATAATTTCGCTTTATCCTTTGTACTCTCTTTCAACACTCCAGTCTGTAAGTTCTAAAGTTTGGATGCAGTCCGTTTCTATCATATGAATAAAATACATTTATTATATGTAGAAAAGCTTTTCAACTATTGTTTATCCAATATCTTTTAAATCATACTATCATCGACTTCAAAAAATAAATAACTTATAGTAAATAGTGACATTATTATCGTTGACTCTTTTACAATGACAATATTTAATTTTTTACCATAAAATAATTTAAAGTTAGCAACAAACATTTCCAGTGACTCGCTGTCACGTCTAACGTATTCTGTACTTTCGCATTAAGTGATGACATGTTACTTAAAACTTTGTTTATTTAACAACCAACCGGGGAATACATTCATTATATGCGGTGCGCAGTTGAATAAGTTAATACAACATAAAAGAAAGCTAAAAAAAGCTAACAAACAGTAATATAGAAGGAAAAACAATACCACTAATCATTTCCTTTTTACTTTACTTAAACATGAGCATTTGAAAACACACGTTTCTCGCATATAAATCATTATTTTAATATACAGTCTGCAATCTTCTTCTCTTCCAGCAGAGAGTTAAATTAGTTTTATTGTGTAGAATATGCGTTTACTGAAAAGTCTGGCCCGGTTTGTGAAAGGATCTATTTGAGGAAAAGTTGTGTCACACAAAAAAACAGAGTAGGTTAAAGTCTTATGCGAAACAGACAGCTGCATTGAACATCTGTCATCTCAATAAAAGAACTAAAAAAAGTATTTTACTAGCCGAGACAGATTTGAATTTTTATCTATTATTACAGGCCACATGTGCCTGATCACCAGACGCTTATCTGAATTTCAAGTTAAAATCTGTAATAAAGTTTATTTCTGTACTATACATACGTAGAAGTGCTTACTTGTTTATTTTTTTTAGTTAAGAATATTTCAATCAAACAAAATAGGATCAATGATGAATTTTCTCACACAAAATAAGTTGAGAAATAGTTATTATTTGTTTCTTATGTATAAATTATTTGGAAGAATATTTTGTTGAAACCCTTATTTATTTCGTTTGTGTGTGAAAAGAACATTTGGAAAAAAATTTTAGGCCATCAAAATTTCTTTCTTTCGACCCTCAAAAAATGTTTTAATACCTTTTTTCTATTTCAATAGTCAACGTCAATAATATGAATAATTATATGTTATGCAGTTTTTCTTTTAGAGTAAGTGTACCTTATAAACAGAATAGAACAGAGAATAGAAAAAATACTTTTACATAGAACGGACTCATTCAAATACACATGGGAATGAGATAAATTCAAAGATCGCTCGATTCAAAGTACAAAATTTTGGAAAAAAATTTTGTAGCCAAGTTGTTCTACACTTTACTCTATCGACCTCCTATGCGACAGATTTAACGATCGTTACTCTCTTAAGTTGTTGATCACAGAAGAAATCTATATCAGTTCTGTTTAAGTACAATGTGCTTATATAGAGCATACATACATCTATTGATATTATTGACTTTAACTATTAAAATAGAAAAAGATATTAATCATTTTTCCCTCTTTTAATAAGTTTGTTCAAGTTGTTATTCTGCGAAAACTCTTATTTATTTTGTTTGTATGTGAGAAGGACATTTAGAAAAAAAATTTAATCCATAAAAATTTCTTTCTTTCGGCCCTAGAGAAAAGTTTTAATACCTTTTTTCTATTTCAATAGTCAAGGTTAATAATATGAATAGGTGCATGTCATGGTAGTTTTTCTTTTATGCCGCGCTCCTTAAAACATTCATACTATCCGTATTGACTATACAAATAGAGAAAGCTGTTAACAATTTTATTTTCAACAGAAATCAGAAAGCTTTTTCTACAGATAACTACGATACTAAATAAACAACAGTTGAAGATAAATCTTTTCTTTCCACATGGTGAAAACAAGTGAATCCAACTTTTAGAACTTAATGACGCTAAGTCACGCTATGACTTATTCACGTAAAAGCAATAGGAAGAATAAAAACGGGTTAAGCTGAGATAATGAAAGGGAATGAATAAGACGTTTGCAAGTGGGACTATGTTTACAACGAATGTAACTACGTTTAGTAAGTTAGCGCGTTCAGAAAACTAACGCATATGAACTCGTTAAAACTACTGAACATAAAACACTTAAATCGTTAATCAACTTAACTAACACGTTTTAATTTGGATATTTTTGTGATCAACTACTTTTAATATAGTTTTTAATTTTTGTTAAAATCACGTTCGTACGACTGGGTGTCAAATTTCAGACATTTTTAGTCACATAACTTAAGTTACAAGTTTGGAAAATAACACATTTACACGCATTCAGTGTATTATGAATTATGAGAAATGAAAAGTTTTTTAACGTATATTAACCTGCTTTAGGGTATCCAAATTATATTTATGGACGGCAGATGCTGACAATATATTATTTTAACTGATTATAATTTATGCCACATTCTACATTAGTTTTATACATTTTCTTTTGTGCGGTAGGAAAATCATCATTATCTATTTTCCTATCCGACAGAAATTATCTATCTTCAAACGCCTTTCTCCAGTAAACGTGCTTCATTCTTTTAGACAGTTGGCTCTAAACTTCTGTTACGATAATACCTCTCAGTCATATAGTTTTCCAATAATTCACCTTCAACTCTATGAAAAAATATTTTTATAATATAATTTTCGAAAAATATTTTTTATTCCACTAATTAATTCCATACCACAAGAAACAGACGAAATAAATTCATCTTCCATCACTTTTGATCAGCAAATAAAACCAGTGAATGTCATAATTTGAAGGAAGTTCTGGTGTTAATCAAGTTCTAAATTCCATTCATTTTCCGGCCACAGAAAGAGATCTATGAACAATTCTAAATTTACTATTTGATAGCCCAGTCAATTCTAAGTACAGATATGGTTTTAAATATTTTAAAAAAAAATTTCTATAATTCCGGAATTTTGTCTAATTGTTACAGAGAAAAATTTTCTAACAGTAAAATCTATTTCTTGCCATAAAAACAATGAGTTTTTCCTCAAAATAAGATGATATTCGGAATCAGTATAAAAAACTACATCTATTACATGCGTTTTTAAAGAAATGTAAAAATGTTTGAAAATTTTCCTGGGATGCAGTTTTCCTCATGTCGTGATACTTTTTCAAACTTGTAACTCTTAAGATTCTCTACAAAACGCAGTATACTAGGTTTTCCGACAATACTTTGTCATCACATAAAAGCCTAACACTTTAGAAAAGAGTAGTCGAAAAAGTTTTTCTTTTTGATAAATCAGTTATTCCTTCTATCTCTACCATAACTTTTTAGAAAATCAAAGCTACTTATTTGATGCAGTTTTGAACGCTCTTTTGAATGAGACATTGTTCGAAAAGAACAGATCAAAGTTGACAAAGTTATAGGTAAAACACTGCAGATGACGGTTTTTTGACGATTTTCCGAGCATCCTCACTTTGAAACGTCTATAACTTCGTGAAAATAAGTCCTAGAAGCCGGTAATGTTTTTCACAATCTCAGTTTTCGACGAGGAATCGACTGATGTAATAAAAAGTATAGGTTATTTCCAGCATGAAATTCCTTTTCGCGATGGGCTCAAGAAACCTCTCTTAAGAAAAATCTAAATAAGGAGAACCTCTTTAACAGTTTTTTTCTCGGTCAAAAGATGTCAATAAGCCGAAAAAAGTTCAAGACACGTACTTCGAAGTGTCCTCTACAAACTTGAGGGTTTAAGAAAAATCTAAATGAGGGGAATCTCCTTAACAGTTTTACTAATCGTGCTAACATTGATAGCTAATGACAATTCCCATAAATGTTGTCATATTTTGCTAGTTGCAGTTTTATTTGTGACTCGAAGATTAAGTTTATCCATTGGCAAATTAAATTTTTGTGGCTCTTTTGAAATATTGATGAGAAATGAATTGAAATTCTACAACGGAAT